AATACAGAGTGCTTTTGAATTAATCCAACAATTACATTATAAAGAAAGCTAATATTACAGGTAAATACTGATGCATGATTGGCTAAAACTAACTGGTTAACATTAAAGATGAATTCTTTTTGATAGCCAACATGATGAAATCAAAACATTTTATTTTCAGTGTACATACTCCAGTTCAAAGCCCATGTATATTTTTGCTGAAATAATATATATATTATGTTAATGCCTCAAAACCGTTAAGACACATTTATTTACAGTTGACTTTCACTCGGTCGGCAGCTCTTTTATTTTGAAGGACAGGAAGGGAACCAATCAGCAGCTCTATGGTCAGCTGACACAGCGCGAGGCTGCTTACCTGACGATCCCGTTGACCGCACAGAGCGATACTGTGAGTAATAACTTATATTAAAATATAAGTATAGCTTCTTGACTGTCCTATAATCCTTTTTTTTATTATTACTAGCACCAGTCTTTTAGCTACCTAGTTAACTAACGATTCTGACGCAGCAATAGCTTATGCTACAGCTAAATACAGAATAATAAGTTACCTACAAGGCTTGTTAGCTATTTTAGCATCAGATGGGTGCTCTAGTGGCGCTGTGAGCAGGTGACTACAGCTCAGTGTACAGGCTGCAGGCCTAGCACCTAACAACAGCCATAACTGCAGCTAGCGGTACTTACACTGCGTGCTTTGCTCTTCGTGTTTATACAGAACAATCATTTTAATGGCATTATCTGTGTGTCTTCAGTAAAATATATCACACCATGCTGCCTGATAAAGATGGTCCAGCTGTTGGAGGCGGACAGAGCTCTCCTGAGGTAGAGGACCCCTCTGTGAGTCTGTTCAGAGAGTACCTCCGCCTCAGAACCGTCCACCCAGACCCGGACTATGGTGAGATATCTGCAGTATATCTGTATATTAGGATGTCATAATACACTGAGATCAATACATTCCCTTTGGAAATGTCATAGTTGGATTTTTTGTTGTTTATCTTTTGGGGTCTAACCCAGTTTGTTAGAGTTAAAACAGCAGTGGGAATATGCACCATGATGAGGGTGAATTCCTCAAATGTGTGGTGTGTGTCCCCCCCTCCAGTTTACACAATTCACATACTTTTATGATGCTGTTATTTCACTTCAAATATTATCACATCATATCATATTTGCACACATATAGTTAAAATATATTGCTAATATGTTTGTAAGTAAACCTTCTAGCTGCAAATAAGTGTTAAATGTATTTTTCTGTATCTCTTGTATCAACTTGTGTTCTCTGATTTATCAAAGTCCAATTCTTATCTGTGTCCGTTAGATATTAAATACTTCCAGTTATGTATGAAGCTTGTGGGCTTGAAAAGAAAACTGAGCTGCTGAGCAAAGCTCTCACTTCACTTCACCTCACCTCACCTCACCTAACTTGTGGTATAAAAACAAAAAACTGTGATCCTGTCCAAAAGGATGAGATTGAATGTAGTGGAAGCTGAGATTGTTTTGTCTGCAGGAAAGCTGGCCCCAGTCTTCATAATAGGGTTCTGTACCTCAAAGGACTACAGCCATTTGTTTTTGTTCAGGTTTATTTTCAGGATTTTTTTTGTTTGGAGGTGTGCCAGACACAAACAACTAGGAAGCATGCTGGAGGGACTATATCTGTTAGGGTTAGAGCATTTGAGATCCTAGTAGTGAGAGCAAAGAAGACTGGCTGTGTAAAGAACCTCTGTGATACTTTGTGGTTGCCTCCTCACACAGAGGAAGGTAAAAATTGAGAGGTGATAGGAAAAGAATTGACTTTGGTATTCTGTGACCTTACCAAAGTCCGACAGTACTGCCGCAAATAGCACCAGCAGTTATAATGCCTGTCTAGTGTTTTGAGAAGTTTTACACAATTATTAACATTTAAACAGACTGTTCTGCCATCTGTTAATTCATTTACAGATGCTGCTCTTCGTTTTCTGGACAGAATAGCGGAGGAACTTGGGCTACCCATGAAAAAGATTGAGGTGTGTGTCAGTGATGGTTGTCTAATTCATGTAGCAAACATGCTATAAATACAATACAGTGCAGACATTAGTAATACAGCGGGCCTCTTCTGGCATTCCCTCTTCCTTTAGGTTTGTCCAGGCAGAGTTGTGTCGATCATGACATGGCAAGGATCGGACCCAACCTTGAAATCCATCTTACTGAATTCCCACACAGATGTTGTACCTGTTTACCAGGTATGGCTTTGGTCTCTGTTTATGGCGTTACAATCCTGTTATCATCTGTAATAGACATGGAAAAAAATAGATTTGATATCAATCTCTTCTCCAGGAACATTGGAAATACGATGCTTTCAGTGCTTTCAAAGATGCAGAGGGCAACATTTATGCCCGGGGATCACAGGACATGAAATGTGTAACTATACAGTGGGTATAAACTGCCTTGATAACTTGTTTTATTAAACAGGATTTGTGCTCTAGTTGTTGTGATCTTCACTTTTTATTATGTTCTATGTGAAACACTTGTTTAAATACCCACTCACTCCACCTGCATACTGTCAGTTCAGACTCCATTTCTTATTTCTGTCGTAACTCTGCCATGTCTTATTTGTTCTTTGCAGGTACATCCAGGCAGTCAGAAGACTGAAGGCAGAGGGACGGAAACTGATGCGCACTGTGCACTTAATGTTTGTTCCTGGTGAGATACTTGATTGCTTCTTCTATTTGTAATTTGTTCTCAGAGCATCTACACACCCGTGGTCCACCCACAAACGGGTTTTCACTTATTTACTGTGCTTGATTGACACCATCTTTAATCTCCTCGTAGCTTTTTTTTTACACCTGTTAACGTGTACTGTTCTGACAAAGCTGGACTCTGACCAGTGAGTGTCTCTGGAGATAACATAAAAACAGGAAATGCATGCTTGAATTTGTTCATTGTTCTGGCTTCAATAGAGGTGATCGGGAGATGGAGCGGATGTTTGGAGAACAAAAGTGTAATGTGGTGCCTTGTACCTTCAGGGTGAGACAAATCAGACCTTTATTTGAGGGTGCACTTCATTTGCATATGCTAGCGTGTCTTTTGTTATGTAGTGGTATGGGTAAAAAAACTCACACTCAAAATGTGGTGCAAGGAGGTATGACAGTTAGTTCATCTTTGTGAGCTGATAATCAAACAGCAGCAGGTGGTGGAGTTGAAATATGAACAGTGCAAGCTGGATATTGACCTGCACCTACTGGTATGTGGAGTTTGGCGATGTCATGAAATTCCCTGACTGAGGTTTAATTCCCTGAGGTTTAATCAGACAGAATGACTGAAAACACCTCATAGCATTTAATATGAATGTAATCTGTTGCCCACAACTACACACACAGAAGTTAAACTATATGTTTGTCAGCTATGAGCATTTTGGCGAATGAAAATATGACATTTACAACTAAGATATATTTTTCTCTTTCTTTTAGATGAAGAGGTTGGGGGGCACAAGGGAATGGAAACATTTGTGAAGCATCCAGAGTTCCAAAAATTAAACATTGGCTTTGCACTCGATGAAGGTAAATAAATAACTGTCTGCAACATCTTTTAAAAGTTAATGAATAAGAATGTGAACACTGAAGGTCACTCACTTACCGGGAGCACTCGGTGAGTTTATACTATGACCACGGAAAATTCAGTTTCCTGTCAAGTTGGCTGTTGTCTGTTTAAAACTGTATAACTTGACACCTCAAAGCAATCCTGCCAGAAGTATAATTATCACTCTAGATCATTTTGGGAGGTAGAGTATATTAAACTGCAGGTTACCATAGCAACAGCATGCTTCATGCTATATTATCAGTAAACAAAATATCTTGTGAAATGAAAGATTTAGACAAGGAAACATCACTTCAAGCCTTTATGACAGACAGTGGAGAGAGGTCCCCAGCTGGACTTGAACTTGGGAAATTGCAGTTTGTGGAGAGCATCTTGACCCCATAGTAACATTATTTTAAAAAGCCATGCTTATATATCCTTTTGTTGTGAACTTGTAGTATTTGTCCTAATTATTACAGTTTGAGCAATAAAAGACTTGAGCAGGAATTCTACTTTCTGTGCACATGTACCCAAATGTCCGCTAGGGTCAGAGTGACCCTCGTCATCAGAGGGTGTACAGGTAGGTCATGTACTGACATCCATGTTCCG